TAGCAAGGTACATTTAAATCTACCAGAGGTGAACATTATCAAAAGGACTGGTTGTTTCCAGGTTTTGGGTGCCTGGTTTCATTGACAGGCAGATAAACCTTTCTAGATCTCCACACAAGTGGCCTAGAGAGTACCAGTGCTTACAAAGTTGGTTGCATGTTTTTCCCTAGTTGGGCGAATGCTCATCTCATCTGTAGATAAACTTCACGTCCCAAGGTAGGACAGGCTTTGCAAGGAAGATTAAAAATGGCTTTATTACCAATGACTTAAAACCCAATCTTCTTTTTAAGCTGAACCTTTTGAAAACACAGCTAACAGGTAATGACAACACTGAGTGTCCTCTACTGGAATTTGGGGTGTGATAAGTGTGGATGGAAGTGTGTAACATCCTAACCATTGATTTGCAGTCATATGACTATCTAAAACTTATGCCTGTTCTTGCTTTGGGACATGATACATAGGACAATAATCTGGTGTGAGCTAATGAAAGCAATGTGTACAGGACCCTTTTCAAAAGATCCACTGATCTTTCTCTAGCCGTGGCATTTGGAAATCTCTAGACCATCACAGGTGACTTGAATCCATACATGTGTTGGCAAGAAAGTCATACAGGAAGACTTCGCCATGGTGATGTCTGCCTCCTTTAGCTAAAACCACTCCTTGGAGAAATGAGCTCGAGAGTAACATTATCTGAGAGAAGTCCCAGAGCACCAAGAAAATAATTTCTAGAAGCTGGAATTAGTGTTCCTTAATCAGTGTCTTGGGAAAATGGCCAATGAAGCATCATAATGAAAGGAGGCTGTTTTTCACTCTCAAATTCTGTGAAAAGTTTCCAAGTTGTTTTCCAGCTCCAAATTTTACAATTTTCTTGATGGAGAAATTATCTTAATCCTGAAATTCATCTCATGTATTAAAAAAATAACCAAGAAATGTCATCCAAAAGCAGCAAATAGATGCACATTATTATCACTGCCGACCTGTTTTTGGCTCGGCAAGCCCAGTACCTTGAAGGAGAAAAGACTATCAATAAGGCTTCTAATTGTCCTCCAATGGGAATTTTCACCTGAGGCTTGTGATGAAAGCCCAGCATGCCTGGAGGCATTTGCTGCCCGCCATCCTTATAGTGAGAGCTGAGCATGCCCATAGTGCTCTTGACCAGAATTTTAGCCCTTAGACTTACTGTGCTTCATGACCTTAAGCTCAGCATGCTCAAAAAATGTGCCTATCATCTATCCTTTAACAATGACCTTAAACTGAGCGTGCTCAGGTATTTACCCAAGCCTAAAGTGCTTTTGTATACCAATAGAGACAGTGCCCATCCCTAATAAAAGCTTCATGCTTCTTCTCATGTTCCCGGTTCGTGACGCAGTTAATACATTTCTCCACCCTTTTCTTCCTCAGGGATGCTAGCTTTGGCTTTGCGTTCACAGAGATGTAAACCATGCACAATTGCGCTAGAAGGTGTAGGGACCTGTGTTGACAGTTCCCTCTCAGTGACCATAATACTTTGTGAACTGGGTACCTGCCAATGTTAAGTTATGAGGCTTTATTTGTATTTAAGCATACAAACGTTTCTTCATTTTTATAGAGAGTTTTATCTTTCTTTAAGAAAAAAATCTTCTCATGTGGCCTGACTGGAGCAAGGACCATCTTCTAAGGTTAAAAATAAGCTTTCTGTAAGTCAGGATTCTTTTTATCCAGTTAAGAAACACTTCAAAGTAGACCAAAGTAACACTGACGGGTTCTTACAAGCTCACAAGTTCGTTTCAGAACTCCAGAGATGGACCAGATTTTCAAAGATGTATTTAATATTATCTGTGTATATGCTTTTGGCCTCTGATTATTTTGCTCACATTAATGAATACTAATGATTCAAACTTTTAAAACATCCTTAGCCAGATGAATCTTAGTTTTTCTGGTCTGTTATGCAAATATAATCAACTAGTGACATTAGGCCATGTTTGCTTACAGATACACAATTTTCAGTCACTGGTAAGCAGAAACAAAGCCATCCAGACTCATCAGAGAGCTGCCTCGCCCAATAACAAGAATGTTGTGACTCAAAAATGACCCAACCTCAGTAAGACCTGGGGTTTGAAACCTTTGTTTCCAGAGATGATGTTAGATAAATACAGATTCGCTTCCCCACTACTGTTGGTCCTCAGTGTGACCAAGGTCAGGGTTAAAAATGTGACTCGTGACCTTGAGTCATCTCATACTGACTTCTGCAGTTTCCATGAGACTCCTATTCTTCTATCACTATTTATTATTGAAGTATCAGGTTGAAGCACAGGAAACTGATGTTTTTGTAGATCAAAACAGTTGACCATTTTGTCTTTTCTGTCTTTCTCATATGAACCAACCTCATGTCCAGAGAGTTTCCTTAAGAAGCTGTTTCGTCATTTTTGCAGTGTGGGCTTTGTGTAGCACTCCAAAATGCCACCTGGTTTTGTTGTTTCCTGCTGTTTGTCTCTTTAATTAAATGTTGCACAAAGTTTTTGTTTGTTTCTGCTTCTTTTCTTCTTTGTCTCTTGATTATTTTGCATAATTTGCTCAGAAAGGCCAGATGCTTCTTTTAGGCCAACCACACACGTGACATTAACAAAATTTCTCAGCCTGAATCTTCACTAAGGTTTTTTTTTTTTTTTTTAAAGATTTATTTATTTATTGTGTATACAGTGTTCTGCCTGCACACATCCCTGCAGGCCAGAAGAGGGCACCAGATCTCATTGCAGATGGTTGTGAGCCACCATGTGGTTGCTGGGAATTGAACTCAGGACCCTTGGAGGAGCAGCCAGTGCCCTTAACCTCTGAGCCATCTCTCCAGCCCTTCACTAAGGTTTTAAGGAAAGAGATATGATACTGTCATGCTGGGTGAGGACGTGAAGCAAGTGAAGTCATGTCAGCCAGAGGACGACTGGGGTCTACTGACTAGCTTACCATCTTTGGAATATCAACAGTGTCTCCTGCAATAAGTCTAAGTACTTCACTGGCAGATGTATCACCAAGGAGCCATATGAATATTCCATTCCTTACACATGCCCCTGCCCTGTACAGGAATTTCCTAGGAAATTACTAAAATATGAATGAATTCCAAAATGTCAACTTAAAAAAATACACACTCAGTTCTAGGTTTTCCCTGGTTGGAAATGTTACCATCAAAAGTAATTATGCTTTTTTTTTTTCCTTTTTCTTTTTTTAGATAATGGGCTCATTCAACATTTGGGGAAAAATCCAAACAAACCCATATCATCTAGTTGAATCTAAAGCTAATTTTAACTCCTGAAATAATTCTTTGTAACTGGGTGTTTAAAGTAATTCTATCGGTTTTCTTCCACATTGTAACAGAATTGAAACTCATTACAGAGTAAACTTTTTATATTTTAGGCCAAATTTGAAACACACACACACACACACACACACACACACACACACACACACGAACACACAAACACATTATTCTATGAAGTGAAATGTGTTTAGCTTTCTCTTGGATACAGATACCCTTTATGGCACCTTGAAATTCACTTCTCCTCCCTTACATTAACCTCTTCAATCTGTGTACGTAGAGTACTGGCAAAGTAGAAATTATGAAGAGGTCACTCAGATTGAACTTCAGTAATCTTAGGTATTTCCACAACCTGGTGTGCTTCACCATAGAGAATACATTTGAATGTAAGCAACACCACTTTCATTTTTACCACTAGAGAATAAATGTAGGAAGGCTGGTCAGATTACCACAGACATTGGAAGGTGTCAGCCTCTGCATAGACATAGCAACTAATTATATTTGGTACAGGAAGCTCCTTTGGCTTAGCAGAACGCAATCTCTCCTCGGACTGGAAATGGGAAACAGAGTAGGAAGTAGAGTATGGGGAAGTGGGCCCTCCAGGGATCCCCACGTTTCTGCTGTAGCCTTAGGGGGCTGGACTATCTGGCTTTTTTCCTGTGGGAAGATGACATGTTGACACTTCACTTTAACTCCCAAGAGAAGGTATCTGTTGTCTGAAGACTGCTGGAGAAAAGCTCTAAGAGCCCCACAGTGCCATCCAAGCCAGTTCAGTCTACAATCTGCCCTGGTGCCCTGGTGCCCTGGTGCCCTGGTGCCCTGGTGCCCTGGTGCTCTGGTATTGGTGCCCTTGTGTCTCAAACATTCTATCTTTTCCCAGACTCAGAGTAAAGACATAAAATGTAAGAGAGTGTCAGGAGATTTATTGGTTGCTATGCATAACATTTAAGAGACTAACATAACACAAAAACTGTGGTGACCAAAATGTCCAAATTATAATTAGAGAAAGATTCAATATGCAGTGATTCTTTGGACCAAGAATCCTATACAGTGTGGCAAGAGACTGTGACTGATCTGTCATGACTTCAGTTTGACTGTGCCTTTTGTGACACTTTAAACTGTGTTCCTGTGGGAGGTCTAGCCCCTGACAGTCTTTCTCTACTTTGTCCTTTGTTGTCCCGGTGTCCCCCACAGGCTTGTTATCTGTACCACCGCCTGGCACAACTTTGCTGTATTCCTCCTGTACTCTAATCTCTAGGAAATCAAGGAGTGTCTGTCACTCAGATCTTGAGTCTCTGAGGGGCCAGAACAGAGCACACAGCGATTGGCTAAGAGGACAATCTGCCACAGTCTGTGAGATGCATGGCTTCCCTGTTTGATTACACGGATAGAAGCATTCTCTGGATGCCCTGACCGCAGAGCCTGCTTCGAGGCCACTTTTTGTACACTGGGAATGGGAAGCAAAGCAACACAAAGGTTTGCAAAACTCAGGAGACTCAGAAGCATCTGTGTAGAACCAAAAAGACAAAAGTCAACAGATGGGACAGCTTCCCTCAAAGACAAGAATCAAAGCTACTGGAAGATATTTTCAAACACTCTATTTTAAAGCAAGAGGTCCATAAATAGGTACGAGTACTTAGGTGTTTTGAGAGTTTTGTCTTTGACACTGACACCTGAAGTTTCTCGAGTGTGGGAAGCTCAAAGCACTTACCTTCAATGGTGCACTGGTCTGGAACTGGGACCTTTTTTGCGATTTCTGTGGCATAAGCCTTCACTTCACTGAGGTTTTCCTTTAAATGCAAGTACAGCTTATCTTGGTATTCAATGGGACTTGTGGCTGTCTCTGGAATGTCTTCCTGGATGTTTTCTTTAACAGTTTCAGGCATATTCTCTGATTCTACATGTACAATACTTGGGTGTGAAGCTGAGGAATTTCTCAGCTGTGATCCATGGGCATCTATCTTAAGGGGCAACTTGCCAGTTCCGTGGCTAAGAGGGTCTATTTCTGAAAGAGAGATGCTGGCATGTATTCCTGCCCTTTCTTCAGCTTCCCCATCTCCTGCTCTCACTGCATTTGTGAGCACAGTATTCAAAGCCAAACTCCTGGACCTGTAATGAAAGGTTAGAGGAGTTAAGGAAGCTCTCGTTCTCCGGCAAAGAAAAAACAGTCCTACCAGGACAGAACTTTACTTTCTCCAGAGGGAGACACTATTAATAGACCAGATAACATGAGGACCACCAAGCTGTGTGACACTCTGAAAACATAGGGCTGGGGTTGTAGTTCAGCAGTCTACTACATGCGTGATATGCATAAGGCCCTGGGTTTTATCCTCAACCCCACCAATAAGAAAGAAAAGAATGTTTAGGTACCTCCGAAAGAAGATTTAAATCAACTTCCTAGCAAAGTTGGCTGTAAAATGGTAGACAGAACTGGTGAGTGCCCTTCCTTGCCCCGGACCCCATCCCTGGGCACCAGCCACTCCAGGGAAGACCTGCCCAACTTGGCCCTAGGTTCTGGCCACCGGACAGGTTCCCTGCTAGCCCCACCAGGAAGGATCCCCTTCTCCAAGACCCCTGGCAGACCCTGCAGTCTCCACGCCCTGCCCCCACGCCCATCCGCCTGAGCCCCAAGCCTCTTCCTGAGACTTAGAGGCTGGCCCCCAGCTCCCATCTTGCTCCGGACTTCCCTTTTGGAACACTGGTCTGTCTGAACCAAGTGTGTGGATAAGGTCAAGAACGAACCACAAGGAGAAGGGCAGACGTCAAGGCAGAAACATATACAACAAAATGAACAGCAATACAGCATCACCAGGCCCTAGCCCTCCTCCAACACCTAGACCTGAACATCAGAAATTGGAAGAAGCAGAAGAAAACAGCCTTATGAATGACATCATGAAGAAGCTAGAGGCTTGTGTAGAGGAAAAGACAAAAAAATGTGAAGAACGCTGTAAACAACTAGAGGAAAGGGCAAACAAATTAGAAGAAATCAATAAAGTCCTGGAAGAAAACAATAAAGTACTGAGAGAAAATCAAGAAAAATCAATGAAACAAATGAAGGAAACAGTCCAAGACCTGAAAAGGGAAATAGAAAAAATGAAGAAGACACAAACAGAGGGAATGCTGGAAATAGAAAATCTGAGAAAACGATTGGGAACTTCAGATGCAAGTATAATCAACAGAATGCAAGAGATGGAAGAGAGGATCTCTAGCGTTGAAGATACAGTAGAAGAAATACATTCATCAGTCAAAGAAAACACTAAAGCCAACAAAGTCATGAACCAAAATGTCCAAGAAATTTGGGACACCATGAAAAGACCAAACCTAAGAATAATAGGGGTCGAAGAAGGAGAAGAATACCAACTCAAGGGCACAGAAAATATATTCAACAAGATCATAGAAGAAAATTTTCCCAACTTAAAGAAGGAAATGCCTATGAAGATACAAGAAGCTTATAGAACACCAAACAGACTAGACCCCCCAAAAAAGTCCCCTCGCCACATAATAGTTAAACAACTAAACGTACAGAATAAAGAAAGAATATTAAGAGCAGCAAAGGAAAAAGGCCAAGTGACATATAAAGGCAAACCCATCAGAATAACACCCGATTTCTCAATGGAGACTTTGAAAGCCAGAAGAACCTGGACAGATGTAATGCAGACACTAAGAGACCATGGATGTCAGCCTAGACTAATATACCCAGCAAAACTTTCAATCACCATAGATGGAGTGAACAAGACATTCCATGACAAAGCCAGATTTAAACAATACTTATCCACAAACCCAGCCCTACAGAAAGCACTAGAAGGAAAATTCCAACCTAAGGAAGTCAGATACACCCTTGAAAACACAGGCAACAGATAAAGCCACAGCAGTAAACCCCAACGTATAGAAGTACACACACATCACCACCAAAAAATAACAGGAATGAACCATCACTGGTCATTAATTTCCCTCAATATCAATGGACTTAATTCACCTATAAAAAGACATAGGCTTACAGAATGGATACGAAAGCAGGACCCATCTTTCTGCTGCATACAAGAAACACATCTCAAATTCAAAGATAGACACTACCTAAAAATAAAAGGCTGGGAAGACTTTCCAATCAAACGGTCTTAAGAAACAAGCGGTGTAGCCATCCTGATATCCAGCAAAATAGACTTCAAACTAAAATCAATCAAAAGAGATCAAGAAGGGCATTACATACTCATCACAGGAAAGATCCACCAAGATGAAGTCTCAATTCTGAATATTTATGCCCCAAACACAAGGGCACCCACATATGTAAAAGAAACATTACTAAAGCTTAAATCACATATAAAACCCCACACATTAATAGTGGGAGACCTCAACACCCCACTTTCACCACTGGACAGATCTCCCAAATTGAAACTTAACAGAGAAATAAAGGACTTAACTGATGTCATGACTCAAATGGACTTAATCGATATCTACAGAACATTCCATCCTAACAAAAAAGAATATACCTTCTTCTCAGCACCCCATGGAACCTTCTCTAAAATTGACCACATACTTGGCCACAAAACAAATCTAAACAGATACAAAACAATTGGAATAACCTCCTGTGTTCTATCAGACCACCATGGTCTAAAGTTGGATTTCAACAACAACAAAAACTACAGAAAACCTACAATCTCATGGAAACTGAATAATACCCAACTGAATCACCAATGGGTTAAGGAAGAAATAAAGAAAGAAATTAAAGACTTCCTAGAGATCAATGAAAATGAAGACACCACATATCCAAATTTATGGGACACTATGAAAGCAGTACTAAGAGGGAAATTCATAGCACTAAATGCCCACATAAATAAGTTGGAGAAATCTCACACTAGAGACTTAACAGCATACCTGAAAGCTCTAGAACAAGAAGAAGCACAGTCTCCCAGAAAAAATAGACACCAGGAAATTATCAAAGTGAGAGCTGAAATCAATAAAATAGAAACAAAGAGAACAATACAAAAAATTAATGAAACAAAGAGTTGGTTCTTTGAGAAAATCAACAAGATAGACAAGCCCTTATCCAAACTAACCAAAAGACAGAGAGAGAGCATCCAAATCAACAAAATCAGAAATGAAAAGGGGGACATAACAACAGACATTGAGGAAATCCAGAGAATCATCAGGTCATACTTCAAAAACCTCTATTCGACAAAACTGGAAAACCAAAAAGAAATGGATAACTTTCTGGATAGGTACCACATACCTAAGTTAAATCAAGACCAGATAAACTATTTAAATAGTCCAATAACCCCTAACGAAATAGAAACAGTCATTAAAAGTCTCCCAAACAAAAAAAAGCCCAGGACCAGATGGTTTCAGCGCAGAATTCTACCAGATCTTCAAAGAAGAGTTAATACCAATACTCTCTAAATTGTTCCACACAATAGAAACAGAAGGAACATTACCAAACTCCTTCTACGAGGCTACAATTACCCTAATTCCTAAACCAAACAAGGATACAACAAAGAAAGAGAACTACAGACCGATCTCCCTCATGAACATTGATGCAAAAATACTCAATAAAATACTGGCAAACAGACTCCAAGAACACATCAAAACAATTATCCACCATGATCAAGTAGGATTCATTCCAGGGATGCAAGGGTGGTTCAACATATGAAAGTCCGTCAATGTAATACACCATATAAACAAACTCAAAGAAAAAAACCATATGATCATCTCACTGGATGCAGAAAAGGCATTTGATAAAATCCAACACCCCTTCATGATAAAGGTATTGGAGCGATCAGGAAAACAGGGAACATACCTAAACATAATAAAGGCAATTTACATCAAGCCAACAGCCAACATCAAATTAAATGGAGAGAAACTCAAAGCAATTCCACTAAAATCAGGAACGAGGCAAGGCTGTCCTCTCTCCCCATACTTATTCAATATAGTACTTGAAGTTCTAGCCAGAGCAATAAGACAACATAAGGAGATTAAGGGGATACAAATTGGAAAGGAAGAAGTCAAGCTTTCCCTATTTGCAGATGACATGATAGTATACTTGAGCGACCCCAAAGATTCCACCAAGGAACTGATACAGCTTATAAACACCTTCAGCAACATAGCAGGATACAAGATAAACTCAAAAAAATCAGTAGCCCTCCTATATACAATGAACAAAGAAGCGGAGAAGGAAATCAGAGATACATCACTCTTTACTATAGCCACAAATGACATAAAATACCTTGGGGTAACACTAACCAAGCAAGTGAAGGACCTATATGACAAGAACTTTAAGTCCCTGAAAAAAGAAATTGAAGAAGATGTCAGAAAATGGAAAGATCTCCCATGCTTATGGATAGGCAGGACTAACATAGTAAAAATGGCAATCTTACCAAAAGCAATCTACAGATTCAATGCAATCCCCATCAAAATACCAACACAATTCTTCACAGACCTGGAAAGAATAATACTCAACTTCACATGGAAAAACAAAAAACCCAGGATAGCCAAAGGAATCCTGTACAATAACACAACTTCTGGAGGCATCACGATCCCTGACTTCAAGCTCTACTATAGAGCTACAGTAATAAAAACAGCTTGGTACTGGCATAAAAACCGACATGTGGACCAATGGAATCGAATTGAAGACCCTGACATTAATCCGCACACCTATGAACATATAATTTTTGACAAAGAAGCCAAAAGTGCACAATGGAAAAAAGAAAGCATCTTCAACAAATGGTGCTGGCAAAACTGGATATCAACATGTAGAAGGCTGCAAATAGATCCATATCTATCACCGTGCACAAAACTTAAGTCTAAGTGGATCAAGGACCTCAACATAAATCCAGCTACTCTGAACCTGCTAGAAGAGAAAGTAGGAAGTAGTCTTGAACGCATTGGCATAGGAGACTACTTCCTAAATAGAACACCAGTAGCACAGACTCTGAGAGAAACAATCAATCAATGGGACCTCTTGAAACTGAGAAGCTTTTGTAGAGCAAAGGATACGGTCAACAAGGCAAAGCGACAGCCTACAGAATGGGAAAAGATCTTCACCAACCCCACATCTGACAGAGGACTGATATCCAGAATATATAAGGAACTCAAGAAATTAGACATCAAAATGCCCAACAGTCCAATTAAGAAATGGGCTATAGAACTAAACAGAGAATTCTCAACAGAGGAAACTCAAATGGCCGAAAGACATTTAAGGAATTGCTCAACATCCCTAATCATCAGGGAAATGCAAATCAAAACAACTCTGAGATACCACCTTACGCCTGTCAGAATGACTAAGATCAAAAACACTGAAGACACCTTATGCTGGAGAGGATGTGGAGCTAGGGGAACTCTCCTCCACTGCTGGTGGGAATGCAAGCTTGTACAACCACTTTGGAAATCAATATGGCGCTTTCTTAGAAAATTGGGAATCCATCTCCCCCAAGATCCAGCTATACCACTCTTGGGCATATACCCAAGGAATGCTCAACCACACCATAAGAGCACTTGTTCAGCTATGTTCATATCAGCATTGTTTGTAATAGCCAGAACATGGAAACAACCTAGATGCCCTTCAACTGAAGAATGGATAAACAAAATGTGGTCCATATACACAATGGAATACTACTCAGCAGAGAAAAACAATGACATCATGAGGTTTACAGACAAATGGATGGATCTAGAAAAAATCATCCTGAGTGAGGTAACCCAGACTCAGAAAGACAAACATGGTATGTACTCACTCATAGCAGGATACTAGACATGAAACAAGGATGACTTGTCTGCTACTCACATCACCAGGGAGGCTACCTGGAAAACAGGACCCCAAGAAAGACACAGGGATCGCCCAATGACAGAGAAATGGAATGAGATCTACATGAACAGCCTGGACATGAGTGGGGGTAATGAAAGGTGAGGGTCGAGGGAAAGAGAGCTTGGGGGAGCGGGAGATCCCAGCTGGATCAACAACAGAGAGGGAGAACAAGGAATAGGAGACCATGGTAAATGAAGACCACATGAGAATAGGAAGAAGCAAAGTGCTAGAGAGGCCCACAGAAATCCACAAAGATACCCACACAACAGACTGCTGGCAATGGTCGAGAGACAGCCCGAACTGACCTACTCTGGTGATGGGATGGCCAAACACCCTAATTGTTGTGCTAGAAACCTCATCCAACTACTGAGGGATCTGGATGCAGAGATCCATGACTAGGCCCTGGGTGGATCTCTGGGAGTCCAATTAGCGAGAATGAGGAGGGTTTATATGAGCGAGAATTGTTGAGACCAAGGTTGGATAAAGCACAGGGACAAATAGCCAAATGAATGGAAACACATGAACTATGAACCAATGGCTGAGGGGTCCCCACTGGATCAGGCCCTCCGAATGGGTGAGACAGTTGATTGGCTTGATCTGTTTGGGAGGCATCCAGGCAGTGGGACCAAATCTTGTGCTCATTGCATGAGTTGGCTGTTTGAAACCTGGGGCCTATGCAGGATTGTTTGGCTCGGCCTGGGAGGAGGGGACTAGACCTACCTGGACTGAGTCTACCAGGTTGACCTCAGTCTGTGGGGAAGGCTTTGCCCTGGAGGAGATGGGAACGGGGGGGGGGGGGGGGGGGGGGGGGGTTGGGGGGAAGGTGAGGGGGACGGGAGGGGGGAGAACAAGGGAATCTGTGGCTGATATGTAGAACTGAATTGTATTGCAAAATAAAATAAATTAAAAAAAATGGTAGACAGAGAGTTTTTATTCTTTCTTGCTTTTGCCTCTGATTATTCACTAGAATAAGAGATGCAACTGGCAGCCATTTTCAAAATTAGCATACTTAATTTAAAAAAGTGTTTAAAAGATTAAATCAGATGTTTGCCTTCTATTTATAGTCCCTAAGTCAGTGGTCCTCAGCCCTTTTGGGTCACATATCAGATATTTACATTACAATTCACAACAGTAGCAAAATTATACTTCTGAAGTAGCAACGAAAATGATCTTATGGTTGGGGGGTCACCACAACATGAGGAATTGTAGAAAGGGTTGCAGCATTAGGAAGGTTGAGAACCACTGCCCTAAGTAAATAGTAAGGTTACTTGAATAATGAGAGCACTATGGGTAATATTTTTTAATTCATTAAAGGATAGAACTTTGGGAAGCTATAGGTTAAGAGAAAAAAAAAACACGAAACACCCCAAAGCATCATGATAATAAGAGCAATAGCAAATGTAAGTTCATAATTCAAAATGATGACCGACTACAAATTATACCTGCTAAACCGAATGTGTCTTTGTTCTTCCTTAGAGATTTGGTCTAAGCTGTATCTGCGGACAGAACCAGGGGTGTTGCTCTCAGTGCGTATTTTGTCTTCAAAGGCTTGGATTTTAACTTGGAGTTTTTCATGGTCTTCACTTTCAGGCTCCTCTGTCATGGTCTTGGCTTCTCCCAGTTTCTCAGGAAAGCCAACTTCAGCGCTGGTTTTTCTCCTAAAAGAACAGAGATCATGAGCTGCTTGTCATCCATACCCTTTGGAACAGACTTCATTCCACTACCCTTTATCTGGAAATGAAAACTCTGCTGGATAACTTTCCAGCTAGTTGCGTAGCAAACTTTTGTTGACTGTTTAGACACAGGCTTTTGATATTCCTTCTATACAGCTCATTTTGCCAGAAGGTTAGAAACACTGGAGATCATGCCAACTCTGTGTTAGAAATGCTTTCTAGGGGCTTGGAGAATGAAAGCAGTTTGTGCTCACATTTATCACATTCCTTCTTAGAAACTCTTTAAAAGTGTGGCAAAGACTTGAGCCATACATTTGGTAGAGCATTTCCACGTGCTGATGTATTCGCTGATAAAGTTGTGGATGGCTTCTGCAAACTCATGGCTTTGCTAATTTTAGAGGAGTCATTGTAAGTCTCTCCCGTTCAGAGTAAAGTATGTCTTCTCAATTTTATTTATGTGTTTTATGTATATGAGTGCTCTGTCTTCATGTACATCTGCACACCAGAAGAGGGCATCGGATCCCATTATAGATGGCTGTGAGCCACTGTGGGGTTTCTGGGAATCAAACTCAGGACCTCTGGAAGAGCAACAAGTGCTCTTAACCACTGAGCCATCTCTCCAGCCCTACCTTCTCAATTTTAAGATATGGGAAAAATAAGGTTATTTTGTTTTTTCTTTCTTTTTTTTAAAAATAAATGATACTAGTAACTTTCTTTCTATATATATACATATATACATGCATATATACACATATAAGATATATATGTATATATACACATATATAAGATATATATTTACAAATATACAAGATTTATTTGTACTTTTTATTTATGTGGATATGTGCATGTATGTGTGTGTATGCCAGGTGTATGGGTGCCTGTGGAGGCCAGAAGAGGGAGTGAGACTCCTCAGAATTGGAGGTTGTGGGCTGCCCGACATGAGTACTGGGAGCCAAACTCAGGTCCTCTGGAAAGCAGCAAGGGCTGTTGATTGCTGAGCCATCTCTCTAGATATAGTTTATGAGACTTTATGAAGCACCTTGTGCATATTAAACTTCATCTTTTAAGGCTTAAGTCAAAATGTGGTATGATTTGAGGCCCTCTGAGAGCCAAGAGTTCCTTTAGACAGGATTAAGAACTGCAGACAAGCCATAGAAAACCTGCTCTGTGACACTCACTGGGCTGGATAATGATGACAGTTGGAAGGCAGAATGTATTTCAGTCTCTTATCTGCATTCAGATGACCTAGGGTGACTGTAATCTTGTGAGCCACTCTGTAGGTGCTGGGGACTGAATCTCCGCCCTCCGCAAGAACAGTAAGTTTTCTTACCCACTGAGTCTTCTGTCCCGCATGAGTTGATTTAATTTGATTTACTTTACAATCATCACTAATTAAAACCCATTTCTATTCATGTGAATACTAATCATGGTAAAACAAGCTGTTTTTAGTTTCCACACTTCTGACATAAAATATGTATCTTTTATTCATACAAACTAATTCTCCATCCCCAACTGGGTGTCCTACAGTTCTATACATTTCCAGTACTAACTGCCTAGAGTGAGTTAGCATCAGTCTGCACAGATCTCCACGTTTTGTTACCAGTTTCAAGCATTCGCTCCCAGGCCAATAACACTGAATAACTTGAGAACAAAGTCAGAAGGTTTCTCACCAAAGGAGACTTTAGGCTCAAGAGAGTCTAAAAAGCTAAGACTCTTGACTACAAGTTATCCTTAGATGCCCACTAACCCCAAGAAGCACACACACATCATATACCTCTGGGTAGGGTTGCCAATAAAATACAAACATTAGGCCAAATAAGAATTCCAGCTAAACACCAACTATTTTAAAGATGAATTTATTATTAAAATATTGATTACATTAAATATTCATATATCTTATAAAATGAAATTATTATGTATTTTTAATGTTTTATGACATATTTATGTATGCATGTATTTTAGTAGTAGTAGTAGTATTCATCTATATTTTAGTTTATTATTACTAAAATGTATTTCATTATCTCAAGATTATTATATTAAAAACCCTAATTTTTTTTAAATCTGAAATTCAACTAGACATCCTATACATTTAATACATTTAGATATCCAGGCCACCTGGCAACACTGCTTTGCTCCCTCATGATTTCATATGCAGGGCACTCACAGCAGCCTGCAAGGTTTGCGGAGTCAGAGAACCAGGAATGCCTGGGGTCTGAAGTCAGGCTGGCCACATCACCTCAGGTCTACCAGATGCCCAGGAGACACGGGCAGCTTCTACTGACTCATCCCAGCGGGGAGAAGCATTGCGTTATCTATCTGTCAAATGCGAGGGGCAAAGAGAGGCAGAATGTAACAGGGGGAGCAAAAGCCCCCCCCCTTCTGCCATTTTATATCTTGTCACTCAACCCAGAGGGAGCACAGCGGGGACTTTGGAAGGGACCAAGTGAAAGTCAGGAATCAGTAATAAAAATCTCTGACTGAAGAAATGGTCTCCAGACATGAGGCTGATGACTGTGGCTCGTGGGCTGAGCTGTGGCCACACAGGCTTTTCACTGCGCAGTTTCCCTTGTTTGGGGATTTTCAGACTTGGAGTGCACAGGAGTTAAGGAATGGGGGTGGAGGGTGGGGAGTAACGGATGGCCATGACTCTACCAAAGCCTTAACATGGGTTACAGGGAACGTTTTGTCACTGGTCACCACTCCACCTGGACATGTCCGATTTCACCAGGGAGCTAAGCGGGTTTTGATTCCAGTAGGTTAGAAGGCCAGGAAAGAGAAGCTAGAAGGATGGAGCTTACAATATCATTCCTTAGCCAGGCGGTGGTGCCTCACGCCTTTAATCCCAGCACTCGGGAGGCAGAAGCAGGAGGATCTCTGAGAGTTCGAGGCCAGCCTGGTCTACAGAGTGAGTTCCAGGACAGGCTCCAAAGCTACACAGAGAAACCCTGTCTCAAAAAACAAAACAACAGCAACAAAAAAATCATTCCTTACTCCTTAACTTCCTTTCATATAAAATACAATACAAAAATAGGGAGAGAAAAATGCCTTTTTTAAAAAACAAAGCCCCTTTCCAGATAAGCAGACCCCTCCCCCCACTCTCCCCAGCTTCCACCCTCCCCCCTCGCCTTCCTTCAAAAGCAGGAACTACACAAACGTGACCAGGAGTGGGCTGGCAGGCCAGTCCTCCTGTGGGGGTTTTTCTGGGATGGGGGCAAATGGGCTGGTCTCTTGCAGGGGGCCCCTATTCCTTTACCATTTGTCACTTTTCACTCCAGAGGTAATTTACAGAATGCTCTGCCAACAGTCTGTACTCCCTTAAATATTAACTTGGCCTTAACTCAACAAGCCACATTACAAGAGGCTCAGCTGATTCGGTCTGAACAGTTTCTGGTCTCTGCTGCCAAAGTAAAGTCTTTAGAAGTGCGTCTAGGGATGCCCAGGGGAGGCCTGATTGCCTCCCTCTTGTGTGCACTGGGACTCTCCTAAGAAACAAATTGGCCCTTGGGCAGTTTGCTGTGCTCCCTCTATGCTGGGTGATGAGACTAGACGCTGGTAGGGGTGGACAGATTGGCGAGCTCTGTTCCTGACCCCTTAAATCAAAGAAAAATAATATTAGTTCATGTTTGATGATCTTGGCTTTCGATCCTGTGTCCAGGATATACTCTCTTGCAGAGTTAAGCTTGTGATGGGGGAAGGAGACCTCAATGGGCTAAATCTATACCAGAGTCCTAAATTCTGGGGATGTTATATTTTTTTACTCCTCAGCAATTTCTTGGGTCATCATCAGTCATCAAAAGGATGACAGAGATGATCCCCTGGCTGATAGTCCCATTGCCTGTTTAGGAGCTTCAGTGCTTAATGCTGCTAGAGTCTGAAAGTGCAGGCATGCCTCTGGGTCCTACGACCGTCTGTTCTTGAGCTATTTTGTGGGCAGAAGTGGAGCCATGCAAAGGCCCAGTTATGTAGGGATTAGAATGTGGTCAAGTCCACAGTACTGTCTCACTGAAAAGAAATGCTGCCACAGTTGATCTCCTTTAGAGAGAACTTTAGTTAGAACTTTAAAAGGGATGTCAGGAGAGGACACTGCAGAAACATGGAGTGATCAGGGCCTCATGAGGGAAAGGCCTAGGGGCGTGCCTCCAATTTCCCACTTACTAATTAATGATGTGCTAAGTCTCTTTCTGACTCTAAGGCATATTTTATTAAATAAAAAAAGGGGTTGATGGCTTTGTGTCTCTAGGTAGCTAAAACTGTCATGTAAAATGGTGGATCGGACAGTGTAGCCCATATAGTATTGGCTTGGAAAATTCTAGCGGTTAAACCTTAGGTGTTGTTGTCCATTGTGAACTTTGACACTGAGAGGTGGCCTGAGCCGGCGGTGCTGCTCAACTTTGAAGGTAAGTGCCTGCTCAAAGCCAGGGAAGACTGTGAAAGCCCTCCTTCGCGGTGGCATCTGAAAGCATGTACGCCGAAGGAGAACAAGGCTCATGGTGTGTGAGTATGCAAGAACTGGCATAAAGGTAGAGTGGATCTGTCAAACTTCCAAACTTCAAGAATGAGTTCGGAAGGCCGGGCTGGCAGCACACACTTGGAATCCCAGCACTAAGGAGGCCGAGGCAGGAGTTAGAAGCCAGTCTTGGTGACATAGCAAATTCCATGCCAACCTGGACTAGAGATTGGGGGGGGGGGGGGGAGTATTAATTCTGAACAATTGTAGACATTGAGAATTCCCTGCAATCAAAAGGAAAATACTCCAATACAAAGAAATGGTCTCCTTAACACAGACGCTCAGTTCTTTACACATTCTCAGCCCTTTGGTCAATCGGAGAGAAACAGGGAAGTAAGGGATCTGGAAAAAGTGCAAAGACCCTTGCACATGTTCCTCAAGTGGGAGCTGCAGACCAACAACTCCAAGTCCTTGGAGCTCATGGGAATCAGAGTATCCTTCCCAGACCCACAAAATCAGAATGATCGTTGAACAATCC